CGGGGATCAAACCCATGACCCCTCCATTGGGAACCCAGAATCTTAACCAGTGGATCACCAGGGAAGTCCCAGAGATTATCCTGAGAACCAAATCAGACCACATAAAAATACTGGTAGCTGAGATACAATGAACGAATGAATCATGGATTTGAATGAATTCTGGCCCTGTTGCATATCAAGTATATTAGATTGCTTGGGCTACTGTAACAAACGATCACAAACTTAGCAGCTGAACACAACAAAAATTCATCCTTGTGCAGTTCTGGTGTCCAGAAGTTCAGAAATGAAGATGTCAACAGGGTCTTACCCCGCCCAGAGACTTGGGGGAGGGTTCCCCCTGCCTCTTCCAGTTTCCAGTGCTCCAGGCCTTGCTTGGCTTGTGGCAGCAGCACTCCAGCCTGTCTCCACCTATCCAAGGTCTTCTCTCTGTGCATCTCTCCCCTGCATGTTTCTTATAAGGGCACTTGTACCACCTGGACAGACAGAATGATCTCACCTTGAGATCCAACTTACTTAAATGTGCAAAGAAGTCACATTCCCAAACTGCAAGGGTTAGGATGTGGACAGGTTAGGTTCGAGAACACCACTCCACTCACTACACTGAGTGACCTTGGTAATACCATTTAGCCACTCTGAGCTGCAATTCACACCTCTTTAAGACGGGGGTAGTAAGTCCTATGATGAAAATTAAAGTGAAAGCGCTTGTCACATAGTAGATGCTCTATAAATACACATGGTTAATGATGCAGATTTCAACCCTGTGAAACTGAGAACTCGCAGCTGCAAATCTCATGGCCATGAATACCTCTGCTCATCTTTTTAAAAAATTTCTTTTGTTTTATTCACACTGCATAGCCTGTGGAATTTTGGTTCCCCTACCAGGGATAGAACAAACCCTTGTCCCCTGCAATGAAATCACAGAATCTTAACCACTGGACTGCTGGGGAAGTCCCCTCTGCCCATCTCTAGGAGGTCTCCTCTTCCCTGCCCTGTCTTCCTTCTCTGCCTATTTGACCTGTACTTGATTCCTCCTGCAATTAAAACTCCTCGCATAATATCTTTCATTGATGTATAGAGAGCGCCTAGAACATAGTCTTCATTAAATCATATCCTGAGGCTAGACTGCCTTTCCCTGAGTCCCCAGGACCATGGAGGAAACAGTAGTTAGCATTCAGTCCTTCCACTGGCTATAAGAGATGAGCTTATAAGTCAGAAGACTTGGACCAGCTCTATACCAACTAGCTGTGTATCCTTAGCTAAGAACCTTAACATCTCTGAGCCCCAAGTTCTTCACCTAAGAAGCTGACAATGTCTGTCTTATCAGCCCAGCCCAGCCTCCTGCAAAGATCAACTGGGATAATGTAGGCAACCAGAACTGTAATCAGTCACGTGCTCCACGAGTGTAGGGTCTTACTGATCATTTTCGGCTCCAGCCAAGGGACGTGGTCCCTGACTCCAGGTAGCCACACTCACAGAAAAAGCCTGGTCTCCTTCTTCCTCTGCCTCCTCTTTCCTATTTGAACCCCCACTTTTAAAAACAAGTATTTATTTTTCTATTGAATTTTTTGTTTTGGCCTCGCCCCGTGGCATGTGAGATCTTAACCAGAGATGGAACCTGCCTGCCCTGCCCCCTGCAGTGGAAGCTCAGAGTCTTAACTAGCAGACCACCCTCACTTCTGATCCATTACCCAGGTTGAAGTCTGAGGCTGTGCCCTCTCCTGCCAAGGTCTCACTCCCTCTGCCAGTCGCCCCATCAAGCAGCCTGGTCATGAGTGGGAGATGGTGTGGAACGGAGCTCATGACCAGAGCAGTTGTTTCCTGGCACTCTGCCCGCATCGCTGCTTGGGGACTCACTGGTGCTGCCAGGATCAACTTGACTCCGAGGACAGAGGCCCATTGTGTTGCATCGGGAGGGGCCCTGGCGGGAACCTCTGTCTCCAAAGCACAAGAACACAGAGGCACTGAGGGGAACAGAGCCCTTTAAGTCTGGTTGACCTGGTTTCAAATCGCTGCACTTTCATTTTCTAGCTGAGTGACCCCGAGCAAGTTACACAGATGCTCTGAGCCTCCATTTCCTCATGTGCAGACGGGGACGGCAATCCTTACCCGTAGGTGTGTGATACCTGGTAGTGAGCTTGATGTAAAAGGCAGAGGAAAGGAAACTAATATTTATGAAATGCTCCCTTTTGCTGGATGCTTTTCTCATTTCATTTGGACAACTCTGTGCAGAATTAAGATGGGGAGAACAAGGTTAGACGTGTGACGTGACTAGTGCTACAAGAGAGACGAAGCCTGTGTCTGACCCCACACTCGTCCAGCCCTAAAGCCTGGGTGGAGCCTCTTGTTCCCATCCACTCCCCTGCCCATCTCCAGTCAGTACTGATTCTGATCCCAGAAGGAAAACACCCCAGTAAGCAAAGAAAGGCGTTCTAAGTCGGTTTCAGAGTCCCTTTCCCTCCTGGGGTGGCAGGCAGCGAGCTCATGCCACCTCCTGCTGGTACAGTGACCAATGAGGATGGCTGGGTTTGTCAGGTTCTCCAGAGACACAGACCAGTAGGCCACATATAGAAAGAGATGTATCATGAAGGATTGACTCATGCACTTATGGAGGCCGAAAGGTCTCGCTATCAGCTATCTGCAAGTTGGAGGCCTGGGAAGGCCGGTGGTATAATCCCGCATGCGTGAGTGCTTAATCGCTTCAGTCATTTCTGACTCTTTGCAACTCCACTGACTACAGCCCATCAGGATACTCTGTCCTTGGGATTCTCCAGGCAAGAATACTGGAGTGGATTGCTGTGCCCTTCTCCAGGGATCTTCCTGACCCAGGGATCAAACCCACATCTCTTATGTCTCCCTCACTGGCAGGTGGGTTCTTTACCACTAGTGCCATAAGGGAAACCCTGAGTAATCCTAGTCCAAGTCTAAAGACCGAAGAACCAGGAGCTCCCATGCCTGAGGGCAGGAGAAGATGGATGTCCTAGCTCAAGCAAAGAAAATCCTCCCTTTCTTCACTTACTCTGGCCCTCAATGAATTGGGTGATGCCCACCCAAACTGGGGAGGGCCATCTTCTTTACTCAGTCTCTTGTCTCAACGCTCATCTCTTCCAGAGACACCCTCATAGACACACCCAAGGATGTTGTTTACCAGCCATCTGGCCATCTCTCTTAGCCCAGTCAAGCTGACACAAGAATGAACTATCACAGCAACCAAGGATCGAGTGGTGCCCATGATGGTGGCTCACTGCTGGTTGTTCCTCACGCCAGCAGATAGAAGGTTTCAGTAGATCCTATTGCCTCCTATCTGTCCTCCAGACACGCTTCAGTCTATTTCCTTCCTGCCTCTCTTGTTTCACCTCCTCCTTCACACTTTCTGGTCCAGCACCAATCAGCCTGGGACCCCCATAGCTTTCGCACTACGATTCTCCCTTTTATTAAAAAAAAAATGTATTCATTTGTTTGGCTATGCTGGATTCCAGCTGCGGCATGCAGGATCTTCAGTTGCATCATGTGGGACCTAGTTCCCTGACCAGAGATAGAACCCAGGCTCCCTGCACTGGGATCGCAGAAGTCTTAACCACTGGACCACCAGGGAAGTCTCCCTCACCCCAACTCTGGCATGTGCTGTCCCCCCAGAAGAACGTCCTGCTTAATTTTGACTCATCATTTAAGATGCACTACTGGTGCTGCTAACACCAGGGGTCCTTTCTGGCTCCCCAGACCTCAGGCAGAGTCTAAAGCCCATCTCTGTGATCCTGCAATAATCCCCAATGCTGATTTCCATCTCTGCATGAATCGCGTGATGATCACATTGATATTCAGTATTTGTCTCTTTTCATAGTCTAGGATTGTCTTAAAGGGGGTCAAGCAGGGCTTAGGACAGTGGTTCTGGAGATGAGTAAAAGAGAGTGAGGGGGCAACTGAAGAGGTATTTTGTTGGGTTTTTCTTTAGGTTTTCTAAAAAAATTTATTTTGTTTTATTATGACATCATAGAATAACTATACTCTTAATATTCTTTTTTAAAAACTGGAGTATATTTGCTTTACAATGTTGTGTTGATTTCTGCTGTGAAACAGAGTGAATCAACTTTATGTAGACATATATCCCCTACCTCTTGGACCTCCCCCCAAGGAGGTCATCACAGAGCACCAGGCTGAGCTCCCTGCTTTATACAGTACGTTCCCACTATCTATCTGTTTTACACATAGTTAATGAACATATGTATATATGTCTATATATACATATATATCAATTCTAATCTCCCAGTTCATCCCACCCCACCTCTCCCCGCCTGTGTCCACATGTCCATTCCCTACATCACATGTCCCTTCCCTCCATCTGCATCTCTATTCCTGCCCTTCATTAGATTCATCTGTACCATCTTTCTAGATTCCACAAACACGCTTTAATACACGATATTTGCTTTTCTCTTTCTGACTTACTTCACTCTGTATGACAGACTCTAGGTCCCTCAATGTCTTTACAAATGACCTAGTTTCATTCCTTTTCACAGCTGATATTCCATTGTATATATATGTACCACCCTGAAGAGGTATTTTGACATCTTCTGTCCACTGTCAGATGGTCTAGACAGGAAGGTCTGGGGTGAGTGTAAGAGAAATTCAGGGCACAGAGTTATTTTGTGAATATGTCCCAGGTGATTCTGACTTAGGGTTGCTCTCTCACCTCAACCTTTGCCTTGGACCAGGCCACTGAGCTGCACAAGGAGACAGATGAACATCTACCGATACATTCAGTTTGGGGAAACCCATGTCTGAGGCTCGAGGGGTCTTGAGGTTGGGAGGTCAATGATGAAGCTCTTATTGTGCTTGGAAACCAAACTTGACTGGGGTGATGTGGAAGAGGTGGCCTGGTGTTCAGGGAAGGGAAATTCAGCCTGGAGGAGGGGGACAGACGATCCTGAAATTTCCTCCCCGGTTGTATAAAGACCTTCCTCATGCGAATAACCTGTCAGCTAAAATGCTCTTATTTTTTGGATTTGTGACAGTGTCCTGAGCTGGCAGCAGACTTACTTTGACTTTCACTAGGACTCAGCTCTCATATTCCGGAAAACATGACCCTTGCTGGTAAGTACAAAACCCCACTTGTGTTACGGGCACCACAGCACAGGGTATCTCTGGACACAGGTGTATGTACTTACATGTGCCCAGAGAAGATAAAAGGCTGCAGGAAATGCACCTGAGGGTTAGAGACTATCTGTAGGTGGTGGGTGGGATCATAGCTGAGCTTTTCTCCCTTTCACTCATTGGAGTGTGTTTTTTGTTTTCTACAATGGCTATGTAATATTTTTGCAGTTAATCCTGCTTTCAATTTGTAAAAGGAAATGAGGGGTGAGTTGCGGCAGTGGGGGTGGGCAAGGGACTGGCAGGATCACACACCAGGGCTTGGAGGAGTCGGGCTGGACTGGACTCAACATGTCAGCTCTAGGGACTTTCCTGGTGGTTCAGTGGTTAGGACTCTGTGCTTCCACTGCTGAGGGCCCGGGTTTGAGCCCTTGTTGGGGAACTAAGATCCTCTAAGCCGAGTGGTGTGGAAAAAAAAAAATCGGCTCTAAACATGACCTCCTGGTTTCCAAACCCTCTCCAGACACACAGTGACCATATGGGGTGGGGGTATTTGTCCAGCCCTCATGGAGGGACATCAGCCCTTCTGGCTTTGACCACTGCATTGGGATGATCAGGGAAGGCTCACAGCCTACCCTTGTCACCCAGGGAAGGACAGGATCACAGGATGCTGGTGGCCTTCTTTGCCCTCACGGAAGTACTGCCACGTGCCTTGAGAACGGAGTGTGTGTTGCCTCTATCCTAGAATGAAAGGAATGGAATATCCTGGGCTCATGGGGGGAATAGAGAGTGGGATCCAGGGTGCACGCTGGGGTGAGGGCACTGGTGCTTGGGGTCCATGTTGTTGATGTTTAGCTGCTCCGTCGTGTCCGACTCTTTACGACCCCCACGGACTGGAGCCCGCCAGGCTCCTCTGTCCATGGGATTTCCCAGGCAAGAATACTGAAGCGGGTTGCCATTTTCTTCTCCAGGGGATTTTCCCTGACCCAGGGATCGAACGTGCGTCTCCTGCAAGTCTCCTGCATTCTTTATCACTGAGACCTGGGAAGCTGTTGGGGTCTCTACCTGTGGGCATTTCTTGCGTTCAGTATCACAAAAGGAGATGATGCACTGGAGAGAGGATAGGGTCCTCTGGGAGCTCTGGCAGGCTCAGGTTCTCACAGGTGGGCAGAAGTGGGTCCAAATCACACACAGGGATTCTAAAGAGAGCTGCTCAGGGCAGAAACGGCTATGTCACCATGCAAGGGTCTGGGTGGTTTGGGTGCCTCTGTGGAGCCTGATGACCCGCGGGGTCTCGTTTCTGAGTCTAGAAAGGGGGTTGCCCTCTTCACCTGTCCGTGTTTCCACAGCCTACAAGGAGAAGATGAAGGAGCTCCCGCTGGTGTCCTTGTTCTGCTCCTGCTTCCTGGCCGACCCCCTGAATAAGTCAGCCTATAAATACGAAGGTACATGAAGGCCACCATTGGGGGACTGAAGACCGAGGCTTCCTGTGGCTTGTCTCCAGGAGCCCAGCATACTCACCCTAGTTTCCTGAGATTCCGCCCCACGTCACATTTTCTTTCCCAGAGCCAGGAAAGTCACTGCAGCCGATTCTGGGGGGTCTACATGCAACGTGATGGTGGGAGCGGGGCGGCGACCTGGGGGACCAGACAGCATCTGAGGGTCTGAGTCAGACCCTCTCAGAGTGCCCTCGATTTCGGCTTTTGTTCACTTGCGTGACAAGCAAATGTGGTGGAGGATGCAGAGGCCAAGGAGACAGAGAGTCTGCCCTCAGGGACACCTAGCCTAGAAGAGGGACAGTCGTGTGTCAATCACCAGACACCCTGGCCCATTGTCTCTTTAGTGAAGGGTCGAGAATGCTCTGAGAAAGTCCAGAGGTGGGAAGGGACTTCTATGCTTTGGCCACCCAAGGAGTTTCTGGGATGGCCATGCTGCCCGAGCCCCGTGACAGGTTTCAGGATACGGACAAGGAACGCTGATTGGCCATGTCCTGATTGAGGGGGGCTAGTGGTTGGGGAAGCCAGGTCACCTCTTAATTTCCTGGGGCTTAAAAGGAAGGTACGGGTTTGGTCTGGAAACGAGAGATGGGAATGCTGGGGTCACCTGAGATTGTTTTTTCTGTTTAGGCTGGTGTGGGAGACAGTGTAGGAGAAAAGATGAGGGCCAGCGGAGAGACAGTGCTGACTGGAGAGAAAGAAGAGAACAGGGTAGGAGGGGGCGCGGGGAGAGGTCCGCAGGCCGAGCATCAGATCTGTAGTGGGGTGACGAGTGGACGGGCGGGGGGTGCTGACTGCCTCCACGGGCACCAGTTTGAAAGTGAAAGTGTTAGTCGCTCAGTCCTGTTCACCTCTTTGCGACCCCACGGCTGTATCCATAAGGCTCCTCTGTCCATGGAATTTCCCAGGCAAGCCAGTTTGAGCAAGAGCCCAGCTAAGGGGGGACCCTTATGGCAGAAGCAAAACAAAGCCAGTTGCTACAGCCATGATTAGAAATCCCCCGTCCTGGGGCTCCTGCTCTTGGGGCCAGAGACCCTCCCGTGGCTGCCCGCTCCAGCCGCATCAGAGCCCAGCGAGCTTGGGCGCCGTGTTCAGGACAGACCCAGAACCCTGGCCTTTGGTCAGCCTTGGGGACCCTGGCCCTCCCTCAAACGTGTGCATGCTATGGGGGGCCCGTATGGTCTTCAAGGAAGGGTGAGCAGCCCTTTCCTGTTCTCTGCAGCAGACACCGTGGACCTGAACTGGTGCGTCATTTCTGACATGGAAGTCATCGAGCTGAATAAATGCACCTCTGGACAGTCCTTTGAAGTCATCCTGAAGCCACCCTCCTTCGATGGGGTGCCTGAGTTCAATGCTTCCCTCCCCAGACGGCGAGACCCATCGCTGGAAGAAATCCAGAAGAAACTGGAAGCAGCTGAGGAGCGGAGGAAGGTAAGTGGCTGTCCTTTTCTTCCCCATCAGGGAGTGATGGGGAAGAAGTTGAAGAAGACAGGAGGTGGTTCTGAGCTGGAGTTGGGTCACCACCAACCTCTAGATATGAAGACCGCACCTCCAGATACCAGGAAGGGAATGAGACACTATGAAGAGAAGCAAAGATGTGAAAGCCCCAGGTGTTTAGGAGCTTGCTTAGGGGAAGAAGATGTTATATTACATGCCTCCAAGAGGTGACCTTAGAGTGACCTGGGCCAACACTAAGGATTTAAGGAAAGGCTGGACAATTAAGGAAAGGGATCCTTAACTGGGGGAGGGGGAAGAAGGTCATGGCAAGGTATATTGGGTTGGTCACAAAGTATGTCTGGGTTTTTGGTTAGTGCTTACAACAAACCCAGGAGAATTTTTTGGCCAACCCGATGCTTTCACCCTTATGTGTGCCTTCCTTTCTTTCTATGAATTTTTATGGCCCAACTCTGATGCTGTTTCTGTGTAAGCTTTCCTTCATCTTTGAAGCTGAAAATGATGGTCACCCTTGAATTCCTATAGCACTTCATTTCTGCCTCTCAAGGCATATGTCACAAGCTAGCCTGGGTTAGAGTTATTTAGATATGATTTGTCTCTACTAGACTTTTTTTCTTTCCCAAGTTGCTAGAATAGTGCCTGCTACAGTGCCGTATCTGATCACTTTTTTTTTTGTGAATGAATGAATGCATGGATAGATGGATGAATAATGGCAATGAGAAAAAGAGGATGAGAGCCCAGTGGGAGAACCCAAGAAGCATCCTTGCTTCCTGCCAACAGGCCAGAGGCCCAGGCTCAGGGAGGTGTGCGCTCTGGGTGTGCATCTCTTAAGTCATGATGATAAAAATCACACCCTGGCTTGCTCACCTGCAAGGGCCTCCTTTTCCCTTCATGCTCCCATAGTACCAGGAAGCAGAGCTCCTGAAGCACCTGGCAGAGAAGCGAGAACACGAGCGGGAGGTGATCCAAAAAGCCATTGAGGAAAACAACAACTTCATCAAGATGGCAAAGGAAAAACTGGCCCAGAAGATGGAATCCAACAAGGAGAACCGGGAGGCCCACCTTGCCGCCATGTTGGAACGGCTGCAAGAGAAGGTAAGAGGTCTCGGATTGGAGAGGAGACTCCTAGGACTCGCTCTTCCTTCCACGGCAAGTACAATGGACATGCCTATCATTCCAGGGAGCAAGTAGCCTCAGGCAGGTGTGGCCACATTTCTGTTAGGTTAGATCCTTAGAGAGTTCCAAGGGAGTACTTGGGAGGTGGCAGGCAAGAACCATAAACTGAGCCAAGAACCATGAACCAATGAACCAAAAACCATGAATTCCTTGGGGGGATAAATTGCCTAGCTACACAATTGAAATTTCTCAATGTCTGAGGGAGATTAGACCTCTTATCTTCCAGAGAAAGCCTGCTGAATGCTTTTGTACATTCCTGGCTTCATCCTTAAATGCCCTGATTTGATTTAATGAAAGATGCTGACTTGAGCTCTTGGCTTGAGGCCAAGGGCATGACCAGCTGAGCTGCCCACTGAGCAAGAAACACAATCCTCTCCAAACCTCTTGATGTGGGCTGAGTGAGTCACCGGTCTCTCCAATATTCTGCCTTTTGTCAATAAACCTGACGATGTCACCTGAATATGAGAAACGTGAGAGATTGGGGTTGGTCCCACGTGTCAGCAGAAGCACAGCCCATACTGCTGAGAACGCGCTGGCCTCGTTTCCTGAGTCCCAAGGCTGCCCCAGTTTCTCCTGCGGCTCCTGGGAGAGCTCCAGCTCTGTGTTTTATTTCCAGGCGCCGCCTGCTGCGCGGTGACTCCCGGGACCCGATCGGTGGCCTCATCTCATGGTGAGCAGCGTGGTCTCCGCTCCTTCCTGCCCATCCACCTAGAGTCTCAGGCCCTTGGCACAGCTACTAGAAAGATCTGGTTTCTTCACAGGGGATCTGGATGTTGTATAGGCCCTGCAGCTGGCCAGCATGTGGCAACCCCCATCCACTCTCTTTCTCCATCCTTTGGGGGGCAACGAGCCCTCCATAAGTATCAGATGGGAGGGAAGTGTTCTGGGTCTGATTTCAGGCTTCCTCAGTTATTGAGAGAAGGGTAGGAACAAACTTTTGCGGGAAAAAGAAATCAGGGATTGGGACAGGATGTGGCCTGGACACTCAGGCTAAACCTAAGAAAATTACTGAGGATAAAGCCATGATATGCGATTTGAAAGACTGCAAAACACTTTTATTTCATCATACCCCTATCCTCACAATGCGATGAGCAGGATGGGCATTATCTTTTTTTTACCAGTAAGAATCCATGTCAGAGGAAGTTCCAATGACTTGCCCAGCATCACATAGCCACTAAGCAATGGAGCTGGAAACAGAACCGAGTTCTTTGTGAGTCAATCAAAGGTTGATAGGAAGAGGTGGCTCTTCCTATGCTTGTTTCAGGGAGACCTGACCACAAGCATCCTGCCAGCCTTTTGTCAGACAGGGAGCCGCTTGGAGGCCCAGGAAAGGGAGTCCAGGAAGCTAGGGACCCGTCCAGTGAGCGGATATAGGGAATAGAGAGAGGTTCTGAACTAGAGAGACTGGGAAAGTCCAAGGTCTGAAGGAAGAGCTGTGGGGGTGAGATAAGCCCCAAATGAGCATGATGTCAGAGCAGATGTTTGGGTGGGCCTCACTCCTCTGGGTTCTTGACCCCGCTTCACCTTTGCCCACCAATGAAGGCAGGAGGTAGGATGAGATAGGTGTGTGGTGTCTGCTCTGCTAGGCACCTATAACAATGCCTCTGCATCAGTACTTGTGTGAGTCCCCAACGGTCAGCACCAGACTTACCTGCTGTAAAGTTGAAAACTACAGGTACTTGGATCCTAACCCCAGACCCACCAATCCTGGCTCTCTAGGGATGGTGCCTGAGGACCTCAGCGGTTTTTTTTCATATTAAAATTTTTTATTAGAGTCTAATTGCTTTACAAAGTTGTATTAATTTCTGCTGTATAGCAAAATGAATCAGCTACATAAACACATACAACCTGTCCCTCTTGAGCCTTCCTCCCGCCTCTCCTCCATCTCACTCCTCTGGCTCATCACAGGGCACTGAGCTGAGCTTCCTGTGTGATGCAGCAGCTTCTCACTAGCCATCTATCTTACACATGGTAGTGTACATATGTCAATGCTACTGTCCCAGTTCATCCCACCCTCCACTCCACCCTCCCCTGTGTCCATGTAGGGCCTCAGTTTAATAAGGTTCAAAGATCATGCTGATATGTGGCAAGGTTGAAAACCACTGCCCTAGATGTACCATTCCCCATGCTTTCTCCAGGGCCATGGAAAGTTCTAGGGTCTCTCCAGGGACAGATCTGTAGTCTAAGGTGCCTCCTGGGACCTTGGGCTGCCTCAGTGGGTCTCCCCCAGGCTGATTCATACCTGGATGTGAATAGATAGAAGGCTCTGGCAGAGACATGCTTTACTGAGCATCTACTATGGGCCTGGTGTCAGATGAGGAACTGGGAGATACTAATACAAAGAGGAAAAGGCATGCTCCCTGCCCACGGACCCAGATGTCTTCACCATGAGCATGGATGGAAGGTAGACCGTGAAAAGCCCTAGAGGTGAACCCCAAGATCACAGAATTCTAGAGGTAAAAGAACCTCCTTTCCATTTGTTGTTTAGTGGCTAAGTCACGTCTGATTCTTTGTGACTCCACAGATTGTAGCCTGCCAAGCTCCTCTGTCTGTGGAATTTTCCAGGCAAGAATACTGGTAGCCGTTTCTTCCTCCAGGGGATCTTCCCAACCCAGGGATTGAAACCAGTTCTCCTGCATTTACAGGCGGATTCTTTACCACTGAGCCACAGTGATGTCTGTGGCCCTCCTTGAGTCTGATCAGAGAACTGAGTTGGTCAAGGTCACACAGCTGATGGGCCTTTGAAGTCAAAGCCCATTGTTTGGTTTGATGAATTTTTTATTAGAGTCTAATTGCTTTACAAAGTTGTATTAATTTCTGCTGTATAGCAAAATGAATCAGCTACATAAACACATACAACCTGTCCCTCTTGAGCCTTCCTCCCGCCTCTCCTCCATCTCACTCCTCTGGCTCATCACAGGGCACTGAGCTGAGCTCCCTGTGTGATGCAGCAGCTTCTCACTAGCCATCTATCTTACACATGGTAGTGTACATATGTCAATGCTACTGTCCCAGTTCATCCCACCCTCCACTCCACCCTCCCCTGTGTCCATGTAGGGCCTCAGTTTAATAAGGTTCAAAGATCATGCTGATATGTGGCAAGGTTGAAAACCACTGCCCTAGATGTACCATTCCCCATGCTTTCTCCAGGGCCATGGAAAGTTCTAGGGTCTCTCCAGGGACAGATCTGTAGTCTAAGGTGCCTCCTGGGACCTTGGGCTGCCTCAGTGGGTCTCCCCCAGGCTGATTCATACCTGGATGTGAATAGATAGAAGGCTCTGGCAGAGACATGCTTTACTGAGCATCTACTATGGGCCTGGTGTCAGATGAGGAACTGGGAGATACTAATACAAAGAGGAAAAGGCATGCTCCCTGCCCACGGACCCAGATGTCTTCACCATGAGCATGGATGGAAGGTAGACCGTGAAAAGCCCTAGAGGTGAACCCCAAGATCACAGAATTCTAGAGGTAAAAGAACCTCCTTTCCATTTGTTGTTTAGTGGCTAAGTCACGTCTGATTCTTTGTGACTCCACAGATTGTAGCCTGCCAAGCTCCTCTGTCTGTGGAATTTTCCAGGCAAGAATACTGGTAGCCGTTTCTTCCTCCAGGGGATCTTTCCAACCCAGGGATTGAAACCAGTTCTCCTGCATTTACAGGCGGATTCTTTACCACTGAGCCACAGTGATGTCTGTGGCCCTCCTTGAGTCTGATCAGAGAAGTGAGTTGGTCAAGGTCACACAGCTGATGGGCCTTTGAAGTCAAAGCCCATTGTTTGGTTTGATGATGCTCAGAAACAAAGGGAGCTTCCCTGGTGGCTTAGACGGTAAAGAATCTGCCTGCAATGCAGGAGACCAGGGTTCAGTCCCTGGGTTGGGAAGGTCCCCTGGAGAAGGGAATGGCAACCCACTCCAGCGTTCCTGCCTGAGAATTCATGGACAGAGGAGCCTGGCAGGGAAACAAAGAGTTGGACACCACTCACTTTCAAGAAAGAAAAGAAGATTCTCTATTACACTTTGTGGAGCTGGACATTTTCCAAAATCCTTTATTTGATTTATGCTTTACAAGCCCTCGTCTTTCATCCAGGGGCTTAAGACAACCTTCACTAAAGAGGTGGACGGGAAACACAAGGGAAGTCTAGCTGCCTGTGTGTAGGGGCCACCTGCAGTGAGTTCTCCTGAGCTACTCCTGACATTAGGTCAAGGAGTGTAATCAGCCCCTAGACGGCCAGGTGAGGGTGGCAGAGGCTGGTGGTGCCTGCCAGGTGAGTCCGCCAGGGAAGTTGTTCCCAGGTGACGAGCATCCTGGGGCTAGAGGCACCAGGAAGCTCCCTCACCCATCCCCTGCCAGGCTCACCTGCCTCCTCTGGTCCCTTCTCAAGATGCCTTTGCAGAGCCTGCGTGTCTCTTCCTGTGGTGGCCAGAGGTGACCACACTGTTTGCTTCGGCCCTCCAACCCCTCTGTATCCCTTTATCCCGGGGTCGTCGGTGTGACCCGATCTTTTCTCTCCCTTCCCTCCCAGGACAAGCACGCGGAGGAGGTGCGGAAAAACAAGGAGCTGAAGGAAGAGGCCTCGAGGTAAAGCCCAGAGGCAAAGAAGTTTCCAGAACGGCCAGACAGCTCCAGCAGCTCCGCAGTTCCGGAGGCAGCCTGGCCCATCGCTGGCTGCTCTCCCAGCACTGGGGTTTGGGGGGAGGGGGGTGGCCAGGGGCATTTGCTCTGCTTTTGGTGTTTGTACATGTAAAGAATTGACCAGTGAAGCCATCCTATTTGTTTCAGGGGAACAATGATGGGGTGGGAGAGGGGAGCGAAGGAGAGAGGTGGGGAAAGAGAGATGGAGAAGGGCTCGTGGACATTGCAACCCAGCCCAGGTCAAATCCTAGGCTTTTCTTCACAGTGAGCATCCGGGCACCGCCTTGAAGGAAGTTAACAACAGGCAGTAGAATTCCCAGCAAAGGGCAGAGTCCTGGGTGGAAGGAGGGCTGCAGGGCGTGGCCGGAGACGCCAGCAGCAAGTGGGGGGCCCTGTGACGGGGGGATGAGGTGTGAGTGTGTGCGCGTGTGTTAATCATTATCTTTTGATCATCATGACCAACAATGAAACATTTCCTCCAAGTCTCCAGTTCTTTATTTCCTGAGTTTGTCCTTTGTGTAATTTATAGAATATTCTTGAATTTGGTTTCCCCCCATCAGGGCCCTTATTTCTTAGTTTGACCATCAGAGCATCTGAGGTGCTGGGTGACAATGGTTGAGACATGCCATTCTTTGGCATTGGATTTTTCTTCTTCAGTTTTACCTGCCTCTCCCCTTGCCTTTCCTGGGCTGTCCCGTGTTGTATTGAGTGCACTGAATTGATAAAATTAATCTTCCTTTGCATGCATTGACATTCTAATGTGGTCTCCAAGAAGAAAGAGGGCTTTCCTGGTGGCTCAAATGATGAAGAATCCTCCTGCAATGCAGGAGACCTGGGTTCGATCCCTGGATCGGGAAGATCCCCTGGAGAAGGGAATGCCTACCCACTTCAGTATTCTTGCCTGGAGAATTCCATGGACAGAGGAGCCTGGCAGGCTATAGTGCAAAGGATTGGACATGAGTGAGTGAAAGAAGGAAGGAGGAAGTCTGCCTCATGTGAAGGGTATGAGATGCTAGGTGGTCACACATAGTGAGAAAGTGAGGAAATACAGTTTGTTAGTGGAAAGCAGAGAGGATCATTTCATGATCCAGAGCATGGAATCACGGCTGGGAAAGGGGTCTCCCTACTCCTCTCCCTGCAAACAGAGGGGGTGGGGACAGCCTGTGTGTGAACAGGGTCCCAGGGCACCTTGCCACCCTGCCCTTCCCACTGCCTTATACAACTCTGTAAATAAATCTTTTTCTTCCCACTGGTGGCACTGCAATTTAGATTCATTTAGAATAGGATAACAGGAGGGATCAGAGATGTCATTTTGTAATTGTGTGGCAGGAATTTTGATTAATACATGGAGCAGACACAACTCTTCCTTTGAGTAGGTGGAGACAAGGATGATAGATTTGCACCAAGAGTATGTCCATACGACACTCTACTTCTGAGTGTAAGTGACAAACCTGCTTATGATTATCTAAGCCCAGAACTCAGCTTTCCATATAAGCACAAACTCCTTCCCACCCACCGTGGTGGCTTTTGCAGGAATGCAGTCCCTCTGCGGGGCTGGTCTTAGGTCTTTAGCCCTTGATCCAGCTCATCCCTTGGTGCTCTCTCCTTGGCTCTTGAATCCTATTCTTCTCCATTTACTCTGTCCTTGGACTTAATTCTTTTCTCCTGCTCAGCATCTTCTCACAGACAAGAGGTTAATTTGAATCCACTCTGACAAAACTTAAAAGCAAGCTTTGGAAAAAATCACACTGCTTTCAAGTAAATTACAGGCATGCCAGAACAAAGTCCAAAGTGAGCCCAACAACATAAAATTAAAAATATCTGGTATCTAGTAAAAATCTACAAGGCATACAAAGAAGAAGGAAAATATTGCAGATAATCAGGAGAAAAATCTATGGAGGCAAATATAGAAAGGAAAACTTTGATGGAATTAATAGACAAAGATTTTAAAATAGCCACTAAAATCTGCTTCATATGTATAAGGAAGTAACAGAAAACAAGAAAGAAATGGAAGATACATAGAAAAAGACCAAATGGAACTTCTAGAATTAAAAATATATAATATTTGAAAAAATTGCACATATACAATGGATGGGATTAGTGGCTGGTTAGTCAAAAGAAAGCTTGAAGACAAAAACACAGAGATTATTAAAGCTAATTACAGAGTGAAAAGTACTAAAGAAATGAGGAGGGTAGCAGTGATCTGAGGAATAAGAAAAAAAAATGTTTCAGCACATGTAAAGTTTGAAGAGAGGAGAGTACAAGGGAGATGAAGGAGCAAAAAATTATTTTAAGAAATAATGGCTAGGATATTTGAGATTTCATAAAATGTATAAATTGGAGAAGGAAATGGCAACCCACTCCAGTATTCTTGCCTGAAGAATCCCATGAACAGAAGAGCCTTGTGGGCTATAGTCTGTAGCGTCGCAAAGAGTCAGATATGGCTGAAGCTACTTAGTAGCAAAATGTATAAATATCAGATTTTTAAAATCTCAACAAACCTCAAGAAGAATAAACAGAGAAACAACACCAAGATACACCCCAACCAAATCATTGAAAAACAGTGATAAAGAGAAAATTTTTCTCCACCTCCCCACAGTTTTACTGAGATATATTCAACCTACAGGACTGTATAAATTTAAGATGTTCAGCATCATGACTTGACTTACATATATTGTGAAATGATTACCACAACATGTTTAGTCAACATTTATCATCTCATATAGAAATGCAAAACTTATTCTTAGTGATGAGAACTCATAAGATTTGCTCTCTAAACAACATTCAAGTATAACATGTTGATAATTACATTACATTGCCCTAACCCTAATGGATTTCCCTAGTGACTCAGTTGGTAAAGAATCTGAGTTTTTTACCTGGTTCAATCCCTGGGTCAGGAAGATCCCATGGAGAAGGAAAAGGCAACCCACTCAGTACTCTTGCCTGGAGAATTCCATGAAAAGAGAAGCTGGACAGGCTACAGTCCATGGGATCGCAAAGAAATAGACACGACTGTGTGACTTTCACTTTTTCTTTTCTTTTCACTATAACCCTTAATTATATAAACACTCCAGATACAAAGCATAGACTGCTACATCAAATAAAAAAGCAAAGTTCAGGCTATTTGCTAGATACAGTGTGTTCACTTTCAATATAAATATGAAGATCTGTTAAAAGTAAAAATAACAAATAAAGATATGTCATGAAAGCACCACTCAAAAGAAAGCTGCAGTGACCACAGTCATATCAGACTAAGTAAGATTTCAGAACAAAGATCATTACTAGGAATTAAAAAGGACAATATAAAATAAAGGAGGCAATTTATCAAGAGAAAATAATTATAAATGCTTGTGCATCTAATAACAGAGCTTCAAAATACATTGGGAAAAGCCTGATAAAACTGAAAGCAGAAATAGTTGACTAGCTTGACCAACTAGAACATTATCTCCAACAACAGTGGAGTATACATCCTTTTTCAAGTACACATGGAATTCATCAAAATGGACTAAATTCTGGGTCATAAAGCAAGTGTCAAAAAGTTCAAGAGAATGGGAATCATACAAAATAAATTTTCTGACTCTAGGGAATTACAGCAGAAATTAGTAACAGGAAGATCTCTGGAAAACCCCCAAATATTTAGGAATTAAACTACACACTCTAAATATCCCATGAGTAGAGGCATAAATCATACAGAAAATTAGCATGAAAAAAAGTGAAAGTCATTCAGTCGTGTCTGACTCCTCGCAACCCCATGGAGTATACAGTCCGTGGAATTCTCCAGACCAGAATACTGGAGTGGGTAGCCTTTCCCCTCTCCAGGGGATCTTCCCAACCCAGGGATTGAACCCAATTCTCCCGCTTTGTGGGCAGATTCTTTACCAGCTGAACTACCAGGGAAGCCCCAGAAATTAGCATACTTTGAACTAAATGAAAAAAAATCACAATACATCAAAAATTTTAGGAAACAGCTAAAGAAATGCTTAAAGAGAAATTTCTATTTTAAATGCTAATATTAGAAAAGAAGGAAGATTTCAAATCAACAATCTAAGGTTTCACCTTAAGAATTTAGAAAAGCAAGAGCAAATATATCCAAAATAGCCAGAAGGAAAACATAAAGATAAGAGCAGAAACCAATGAAATTAAAAAAAGAAAGACATATAGAGGGTACACAGGGACATGAAAAATGCTTAACATTGCTAATTGCTAGAGGAAAAATTGGGCAAATAAAAGCTACAATGAGGTTTTAATATCACCTCACACCAGTCAGAACGGTCCCATTAAAAAGTCTACAAATATTATTTTGGTTAGCTTTCTGTGATTGTGGTATTCCTTCTGGGGGGCTTGCAGGATTGTATTCTTGCTTTTTCTGTCTACCCTCTGGTGGATGAGGATAAGAGGCTTTTGCAAGCTTCCTGATGGGAGGAACTGGCTGTAGGGGAAACTGGGTCTTGCTCTGGTGGGCAGGGCTGTGCTCAGTAAATCTTTAGTCCAATTGTCTGCTGATGGGTGGGACTGCACCCCCTCCTTGTTAGTTCTTTGTCCTGAGGCGACCCAGGCCCAGAGTCTGCAGGCTATGTGAGACATCCAAGAGGACTTATGCCAAGACGCATCTCCCAGCACTGCTGCTTCCAGGGACTCTGTCCCCGCCAAGGGCCCCTGCCGACCTACGCCTCTGCAGGAGACACTCCAACACTAGCAGCTAGGTCTGGCTCAGTCCCCCCGGGGGTCACTGCTGCTTACTCCTGGGTCCTGCTATGCACGATATTTTGTTTGTGCCCTCCAAGAGTCTCTGTTTCCCCCAGTCCTGTGGAAGTTCTGTAAGTCCTGCCGGCCTTCGCAGTCAGATTCTCTGGGGATTCCCTGTCCCTTTGCTGGATACCCAGGCTGGGGAGCCTGATGTGGAGCCTAGAACCTTCACAATAGTACAGGAACTTCTTTGGTATTATTGTTCTCCAGTTAGTGAGTTGTTCACCCAGCAGATAAAGAATTTGACTTTATCATGATTGTGCTTAGTCATGTCCAACTCTTTGAGACCCCAGGGGCTGCAGCCCGCCAGACTCCCCTGTCCATGGGGATTCTCCAGGAAAGAATAATGGAATGGGTTGCCATATTGCGCCCCTCCTAACATCTCGCTGTGGCTTCTCCGTTGTGCTTGGACATGGGGTATCTTTTTCTGGTGGGTTCCAGTGTCTTTCTGTCAGTGATTGTTCAATAGCTAGTTGTGATTTTGGTGCTCTGGAAGGAAAAGACGTGTGCCATCTTGAACCAATCCTCACTTAGGCCTCAAAAAGTCTACGAATAATAAATGTTGGAGAGGGTGTGGAGAAAAAGAACCATTCTACTTTGTTGTTGGGAATGTAAATTGGTGTAGCCGCTACAGAGAATACTAAGGAGATTCCTTAAAAAGCTAAAAACAGAGTTATCATACGATTCTGCCTTCCTACTCCTGGGCATATATCTGGACAAAACTGTTA